TAAATATTGGCTTTCTTTAACAAGCATCAAACAGATAACCTGGATGGCTCTGTTACATCTTCTATTGAAAGGAAATATATCTACATGTAGTCATATCATATTTTGGAGAAACTTTTCCTCCCACTTCAAGACTTTCTATGCTAGTGAACAGTTCTTATTTCTATGTTTGCTGCTTACTATACATCATACACCAGGATTTACTGTTGCACACTCTTGTATATGATACTTAAACCACTCTTTATTTGTTAACATAACACACAAATATATACATGTTTATTAATGTAACATTTCAGTTCACACTTAAAGCACATTGTTACAATGAACTGGTAAAAGCTGTCAAGTTTTAACTGCATATTAACATTCACTTACATATAGAGCACAACTATTTATCTCCATTCATTCTTTGGCACACAGCCTCTTCACAGACACGAAAATATACAATTAATACTCTTATAAATGTTCCTGAATATCTTCCTTGACAAAAGGTTAAATAACCCAACATCTGCTGCTATCAAAAGCCTAAATTTTAACAGTATTCCCCTTTAAATAGCTGAATAATAATTGTCTAAATATTAGATATACATTTAATAATGCTCTTCAGTCATGGTCAAATCACATCCAATGTAAAGATGGTCCAGCATAAATACCCTCTCTTTCTTGAGTAAATAAGAAGACAAGATAATTTTTTGCCCCAAATATATAGACATTCCTAAGAAACTGAGCTTTAACCCTTCTAATCATTGTGAACAAGATGTTTGATGTATCTCTGCATTGAACCATAGTCCATGCTCATCGTTCGAGTCTGATGAGCTTGGTGAGCCAGGAGGAAGTCATTTGTTGGAAGAGATGAGGAGATGTCGTCGCTCTCCCTCGAAGATTCCCTGTCCTCAGGCTCACTGATCTTCAGCTCTAGGCTCTCTTTCTTTTCAGGCTGTTGCCAAAAAGTGAAGTGACACTTTAAATACAATGACAACATGGACCTTGACCTGATACATGAACTGGGGCCTATTCTCAAATCTAATCATATTATTTCAATGTGTCCAACAAAACAAAATGCACTTTTTCTCCACTAGGTTTAAATCATAAAGAGAAAAGTATATTTCAATTTATCATTTGTGGGATTCTTACTGTGAGAAGAGTCAGAGAGCAAAGTAAATGAAAGTAGGTATGGATGGATGGATGGATGTGTGTATATATCGTTAGATGGACAAATGGATGGACAAAAAAGATAGATGCATAAATAGATTGATGGATGGATCAATGGATGGATAGATGAATAGATGGATAGATGGATGAAAAGCTATATTCAATTACTTAAATTCCAAATATAATAGGTATTACCTTCAAGGCATCTGTTGGCAAGAACCGCTGTAAGTTAGGAGGAATTTCAGCCAAGCCTTCAGGAGAAACCTTTTGCGACAGAAGGCTCACTAATTGTTTCAGGTTCCCACGCTCGAGTTCTAGCCATCTAACCCTCACCTCCAGATGGTGCTGACTTTGCTGCAGGCTCTGCAATGAATAAAATTAGATCTTTAAAATTTTGGTCAAAAATAAAATAGAAAAATAAAATACGGTGCAACTGCAAAGACTATTCAGACATAAATAACTATTAACAGTTTGTACCTGGTTTGAAGTTTCAAGTGCATGCTGCTGTGAGTTTGAATGATGAAGCTGTTCTAACAAATCTAAGTTCTGTCTCTTAAGGTTTCTATTGGCTTCTTGGAGCTTCTTGAAATCAGCATCTTTCTGGGGAGAGAGAGCCAGCTCTTCCTGGAGTACATGGTACTCAACTTCATAAGCATGGAGTTCTCTGCTCAATGACATTTCACAAGCCTGTAAACATGAGAAACAATTGTATAAAAAAGTTACATATCCACTGAGAGTTAACCATATGGATAGTACACAATAAATTCTGTTTAATGACCTGACAAAACATAGCCAGGGAAATACCTGAGACATAATGTTTCCTTGCTGAAAGAGTTGAACATTGGGCATGGTTGTTTTCATGTAATCCATGATCTGCTCAAATGAATCACATGCCAGCAATGCTTCTTCATGAGTTCTTAGCAACACTAATGCAACACGAAAAATGGCTTCCATCCCTTCCAGGAACAATAAATCTGTAACAGTAACAAAGTAAGATAATGTGAAACTTACTCATGAATATTCACCAGGATAACTGAATTATTTCAACACATGTCTATTAGGAGAATCTTGCAAGTTAAAAAATTTAAAGCATAAAGAAATTTACCTATATTACATAAGGGAACATCAATATTTTGATACAAACAAGTTTCATCTTCAAATGCAAACTACTTTAAGTTCAAACAGATAATACCAACAAATAACCCAAAAATACTAAACAATAAAAATGCTCTTACCAAATACTCGAACAACAAAACTTAATGGGAACTGTGAAGCAAACATTGTCAGGAACCATGGAGCAGCAAAAAGCTGAGGTGTAACCTCATGGTTCTCCAAATGGTCATACAATTTCCGT